TAGATAGGGTGTTTAAAGTGCTATACCTTATCGAGACACTCCTGTCCTCTGGCCTTATGATCGCACTCCACCTCTGGATCAAAGTATCAATGATATCAATAAATTAGACAAATGGTGGTCAAGAAAAAGAATTAATAATTGTGTTTCAATTCTTACCCAAAACGACATGATTTGGACATTTAATGAGACACAACATTGTATTCATGGATGTGTTCATTGATTCAGAGGTTTTAAAGGCCTAACAAAACATATAATAATCACAAATGAATACAAACTAAATGAAAGACCACTTCCTCTAAGACGACGAGTGATACACCACTTGAAGACTACATTAAAATTGTCACTTAAATAGGAGTGGATTTGTGGGACAATCAGTGGTTTAGTCGGTGTTTGTTATTATCGTTGTGTTGTTGTTGTGGTGCGGAAATAGTGGCCAAACAAATGCTAGCAAAACAGTAGTAATACTCAATTCACAGGCAATGCATTGAATGGCACTCGTATTCAGTGAGTGTTGTGTTGTGTTTGCACTGAAAAACTCAACACAACGTCAGCTGTAATGCCGTCCAAAACCGTACGAAAACACAATCACTCGTCAAAAGCCATAGACTCCGCCTCTTTTGGCTGGCATTTCACTCTTCGCACACAAAAAGCATAACAAAAAACTTTTTTCTCTACTTTTTGTCAAATTTTTGTCAAACTTTTAGAGAAAAAAATCCAATGGATTTGAGCTGTTTTCTGGTGACACTTATATTTTGATAATTTCATTGAACATAACATATTTGGAACTAAGGATGGGGAAATAATACATATGTAATACAATATTATTCTAAAATTTGCCATACATACAACATGGTGTCAACTATTGATAATATTTGCTAAAAATGGACAAAATTTACCAAAACTTATGCTATTTTCTAAATTTATTTTAAAATTATAAAAGTAAATTATTATTTTAAGAAATAATCAAATAAAAGAAGCTATATTTATAAAAATATCCAATATTTTAGTTTATAGATAAGTTTATAGATTAACATTGCCCATAGGTTAGCACTAGCATTTCTTAAGCATTGTATGTACTAATACACGAATAATACATAATATACATGTAATAATACACGGAAAACTTTTTTCATGTATTATCCCATCCCTATTTAAAACACACATTTTTGAGCCCAATATTTAGTTGACAACTAAAAACTTATGTTCATTTTATTTTAATAAAACAACTTGAAAAGTTTGTAAATCAAACTTTGTATTCACTATATTTAGAAAGTGAAAGCATAATATGCTATTACACATATTATGTGAAATAAATTCATATTTGAAATCATTAATTCGTGGGTAGTTTTGGCTACATTTTATTTTCTATCGCTTATTGATGCCTATTATTGATAGAAATATTTCAGATTTTGTTTAAATCTTTATTTGTTTGGAAATGTAGGCATAAATCATATACTTTTCTCTCTTAAGGTACACCT